AATTGAAATTTGATTTGTTTTCTCTTTTAAATATTATGCACGTCCACATCTCGCGCATGGCTTTTATTGTTAGTGATCGTATTATTTCTCTCATAAGATACTACTCGAGTTATATTCGATTATTTATTTGTTCAGTTAATATAAAATTCCAAAGAAAATTCTATACGTATATCATCACTTTGCGTAGCAATTTTTATTTTAATTTATCTTGACCGGTACGTAAATGTGACGGATTTAATGTTTCTGTGTGATGAGAAGCCATTGCCATTATTCTCTATATATAGCACTATATGAAAAAATAAAAAATATAACAAACACTTGTTTAAAAGTTTCTTTCAGAGGATGAGGACATTTTGCTAGAAAGAATGCGCGTAATGATGCTTAGTACTGAAAAAGAAAAAAGTTAATATGCAGTTTTTAACATTAATATATATGCATTTATAATTAATTATTGATCCTTTTAACAAATATGTTTCTGATAGTTATAAAAGAAAAATGGTTTTTATAGTTTTTAAAATCTAATTTTGTTTTTTGTATTAGTTCTTTGTTTATAACATGAATTTGCATAAAACCGCATTTGTTAGACTTAACAACCGTATTATACGGTTATCTATATTATAGTTTTCATGAAAAATATGAATAAAAGTAATTCTATTACATGCGTAATAGACTTACGAGTTTATAGTTAACCTTCATTCTTTGTCCTTTTTGTTCCTATTGTATTATAGACAAATATCTTGCCCTCAAATGTGACAATGTAGCGGCTATTGCAATTTTAAAACGCGTATAGCTTTCATCATTTTTCCTTGAACTGTGCAAACAGAATCAACGGGTGGTCCTGTTCATCGTGACACACAAAGAGCCGAGGAACTTACGAACCATTTAGGGTCAATAAGTTTACCAGGACGACGAAAGCAACCCGCAGGAGTTTAGAGGGCGTGTAAATGGTTAACCTGAAAGCTAATTTCCTTTTCCTGATTTATGTGAGTGGGCGGAGATGTCTCTTTACTTGGAAGCTTTTGGCAAATTGGAGTTTCTTTGAAAAAGGATACGCTGTCTCTCTTTTTTCCACAAAGGAAACAGCTGAAAGTTTCGGAATAAAGTAGAATGTGTGTCAACTTGCGATTTATATGCAGAAAGATCGGCATACATATTCTACATATTGTTCACGTCACATCAGCCATGTTTTCTTTCTGAATGACTTATTTGTTATCTTATCATTTTTTAATCTCAGATTACAATTTGCAATTTAATCTAGTTTAGTATATTGAGGTATGTTCATCTCATTAGCAATTCTATGTACAAAAGATAAAATCTCGTAATTATATGAGAATCTGACGTTGAAAATTTGAACAAAGAAGCGGCAACAGATCTTTGCTTCGAGAGTTGCGCGACGATTTGTGCCAAAAAAGTAACGTTACGCAATACTCCCGCTTCTATTACCTTCTGTCCTATGTTCTTTGTGCTGATTAGCCGTTTTTAGTTTGAGGACCTCAGCAAGGTTCGTCGAAAGGCAGTGCGCGAACGTTATAACTTCCTGATGTGCGGTGCGATAAAAAAAAAAAAAAAAAAAAAAGAAAAGCGTGAAAGGAAGAGACACGTCGACTGAAACCAACGTTACTTTGATCGAGCTCAAGTCACAAAGAGCTCGTCTTGAATAGCTCCGGCTAGAAGGAGGTTGGATTAGGTTAGGGTTAGGTGAAGTTACGAGGGTGGAGGAAAAGGATCTCTATAGCGGCGCGACAAGACGTCGTGAATGGGGCACGTGCTACTACCGTCGTGGATTCTTGGCTCGCTTGTCTGGTTGATCTGTCTTTCTTCGTCTCGCCCGGTAGTTTGTCTGTCCATCTGATCGTCCAGAGACGGATCTAGGGCTAGACTAGGGTTACTTCTCGATGTTTCTTTTGGACAATCTTGCCAGCTGCTCCGCCGAAGTTGCGATTCCTACGGCACGTGTCTTGTATGAATTCTGTCTTCAAATTTACGTGCATAGATCGAGCTCTTCCTTGACGAGACTGTGATCGGGAATACTGCGCAGCGTTTTTGACTTTTTGTTATCACGTAATCTACGATGCTTTCTCATAAGAGTATCGAAATAACAAGAAAAATTGATAACGGGTTGATATCTTGCGATAACATACGCAATAGAAAAGAAATAAAATTTAGAGAAGAACTAACAAATGTAAATATGTAATAATAGATATAATGTCTGTGCACATATATAAACGAGAAAGAATATACCAGAAAATGTTATATTGTTAATTAAAATAAATTTGTTAATTAAAATAATATGTTACACAAATATTATATGTCAAATGATATAAAATAAAAATCAAGATAGTTGTTCCACGAAAAAAGTATTTTATGTGTCATCGACAATCTTGTTTATCTTATCGTTTGTTATTTGTCCTTCATACACACAATGACTTATCCTCTTATCGCACTTCTAAAAGATTAATTTTATTCTAGTACATGCGTTATATTTGAATATATTTTCATCGATTTGTAATCTCTTTTTTATCTTATCGTCTCTCTCAATTTAAATTCTGAAAATTTATAGTCTTTTTGTTAAAACGCGCGCTCATCGAACGATCACAAAATTGCTCGGCGAGTCTGTCGTGAAAAAGAGTATTCGCGCGAGGATGCTCGCGTGCCGGGACGCAAATGCGTGCGTGTTACGCATCTGTCTCCTCTAGGGCAGGCTTGTACACGCACACGCGCTTCTCACGCGCATATGATTGCGACGTGGAACGTATTTATATACGTATGACGCGCGTGCACATAATCCAGCCCGTAAGGCGTCTATACGGACGTACGCGTATACATGAGTGCGTGAGTGCGCAACACGCTAAATCTATACGTATATATTGAGATATATACATATATAGTGCATAAGTACAATAGGATCGGTACATCCAACTCGTAGTTGCTATGCTACCGGTATGCGCAAGCACGATTACAAGCGCGTTGTGCGCTTGGAATTTCTTCACTGACATACTGTCGAGAAATCGCGATCCTGAATAGATACTTTCGTTTGCCGCGACGTTTCACGACAGCCGTTGAAATGCAATAAATCCGCCGATAACAAATTGCCGCTGTGCGGCAGCCTACTTCGATGCGATAACTGAGAGTCTCGTGGGGAATTTATGTGAACGAACAACGTCTATAGACCGAGTCATGTTAAAAACGATTCGATTTTACTCTTGAAATTTGGAATACAAATTTAAATTTTATTAAGAAAACTTTGTCAAATTGTAAATAATGTGAATAAGAGAAGAATATTTCATTAAAAAAACAATGTCGATAATAGAATGATAATAAGATGTAAAAGAATATGTAATTCTTCTTTTTATTTGGTTTAAATATTTAATGTATGTACAGAACGCACGGAAAGTATCGATTTTTCGTTATTATGTAATAGATGGTTGTAATTAAAATAATAAAATCTTATTTTAATATAATTGTTTTAATACAAAAATATTCACAAATAAAAGTTTTTATATTATTTAATAAACATGTTGTAACATGTTTAATTGTAGACTATCATGCAAAATGTTATCAGTAGAACGATAGAATTTAGAATCGGTTTTACGTCGCTGATACACTGCTAACAAACTTCATATCGACTACGTCATAACACATCAATAAATCAGAAATAATAGATCCGGAAATGAATCATGAAGCAACTAACCGAAGCAACTTTCACTTCAATGTACTCCGCGTTTACAGTTTCGATTGTATATCATCAGACGATGACAAAATATATGACGAATGACACACAAATGTATTAATATAGTGTTTTTTAAAACAAATATACAACACATATGTAAGCAAAATTTACACACATTATGTATTTAATCTTCAGTTTTATTAAAATTTATATATTTATACATCATTTAGATACATATAATATTTAAAAATGCATATTATCAAAATGATCATATTAAATTTATGATAATTAGTGACATTTGCACGATGTAACTCTCTATAACATTACGCAGAGATTCAATGGGAGTCCACAATAGAATTTCGAAGTTATAAGACGTCTAAATAGGTGGAGAACACTCTCGTGTACATACGAACGACACGCAAATGTAAGACGGTGTTCTACGGTGTTACACGTACACATCGAATACCGCTAGCAGAGCGACCGCCAGCTACTTGTTATGCTACTGGAATATCGGACTGGGGTTACAATGTTACCTGCATGACATCGTCGGAGCCAGAATTTCTCGACGTCGACGACGGGTGATACGGTTGACCATATCTCGTATTTTAATGTCATTCTGTCAACACAGAGACGTCCCACTGCGACCGCAGAATCCGTCGATTACACTTGCTCACGCGTTACTCCGATCTACTTTTAGAAACATTTTATTCGAAATGAATTTTTTTTCATCGATATATTTCAAACAATGCTGAGTATACGCAACGATAATGATCAAGATCAACGGTCAATTCTCGATTAAGATTGCACGAAATTTCAAGGCTTTTGATAACACGAGATTAAACCAAATTCAAGGATTTACGTGTGCGCGCAAATTAAACTCTCAGCGACGTGTAATACATCAGGAATTTAATAATGATAAAACGATTTTCGAGTTTTGATTTCTATCTAGTCGAGAATCATACTAAAGACTTACACACCTTTGTGCTTTATTAATTTATTATCTTTTATCAATAATATTCATACTTGATTAAAATCAAATTCAACGATAAGACAATATGACGTGTGTATAATATAAAATGTGCAATTATAATTCAAACCATTTATATCATAGTTAACATGAACTGATTCACTGTCATCGTCTGATCTATCGATTGTGCAACTATTTATCAGTCAAATCTGATGCAATGTGGAGGAAAAAACTGCGTGCGAATCAACATACACGAAAAATTAATCTTTTCCTTCCGTATAAACAAGAAAAGTATATCTGAGATAGAGATAAATGATAATCTATTCTTGATAACGTGATATTATAAAATATAAAAGGCGAAAATTCCATCAGTCGTGTATTTGAATTAATCAGAGTGCTGAGGACAAACGATACAGAACAAACGATAAGTTTCCTTTCTCTGCAAATTCGAATCGAACGGGCGGTTGGCGATGAAGGGTAAGTATGTCGACATAACGCAACCTTTTATAATAAAACTATATAATTATTAAAATAAAATTAAACTATTAAAGTAAAATAATTAGATTTGTATATCACCAAAAAACCATTTTATCCAAATTTACATAAACAATTGGCATTTCTTCAATAGTAAAAAAATCAACTGAAATTATTGAAACGCAATCGTGATATTTTACGATAACTTTTATTTATTTCAGAAATATACGTAATCGCCATCGCCTTTTTGGCGTTTTTGGACATAAGCGCTGCAGACATTTTTGTTCCTCCAAAAAAAGTATGCCCAATTAGAGAATACAATAAAACAACAAATGTAGCTCATGAATCGAATTGTACCGAATTCTACACATGCCTTAAAGGCAGTAGAATCCCTAAAGACTGTCCTTATCTAGACAAGGCTAAGACTCAGAGACTGCACTTTAATATATTTGAACAAGTCTGCGATTGGCCATGGCGAGCCGGTTGCTCATCTTGTCCTGATGACAAAGAAATTGGCAAGAAATTAGGTAAATCGAAGATACCTGAAGTACCCGGCAAAAGTTGTAATAAAAGATACTACGAGTGCAAGGCAGGAAAGAGATCCAAAAAACCAATATCATGTCCTAAAGGTACATGTTTCAGTCGCACATGCCAGAAGTGCCTTAAAAAGGGTAGTGATCTTTCAGATTGTAGAAAAAAAACGTGTGAGGCTTCTGAATCTGATGAATGTTCTGATGAATCTGACAATGATTCCGACGACAGTGATGATTCCGATGACAGTGATGATTCCGATGACAGTGATGATTCCGACGACAGTGATGATTCCGACGACAGTGATGATTCCGACGACAGTGATGATTCCGACGACAGTGATGATTCCGACGACAGTAATGATTCNCTTTCAGATTGTAGAAAAAAAACGTGTGAGGCTTCTGAATCTGATGAATGTTCTGATGAATCTGACAATGATTCCGACGACAGTGATGATTCCGACGACAGTGATGATTCCGACGACAGTGATGATTCCGACGACAGTGATGATTCCGACGACAGTGATGATTCTGACGACAGTGATGATTCTGACGACAGTGATGATTCCGACGACAGTGATGATTCTGACGACAGTAATGATTCTTCTGAATGCCAAGAAGGAGAGCGAGTGCCTCACGACTGTAATTGCGGTAAATACTATGAATGTAATGACGACGGTGAATGGGTTGAGGAAGAATGCAAAGCTGGCTATCACTTTAGAAAATCGAGTCAAAAATGCACAAGACCTGATAAGGCTAAGTGCAAGTCAAAGAAAGATAAGAAACTCGATGAAAAATCTGAGAACTTCCCTGCGATACTAGCTTTGTTGAAAAAAAATTAAATCTGAACTAATCGCATCCTCATCACGATCCGTGTACTTATCACAAATTATTCTGCACAAAAGTGTGACGTACGAATTTTGAGTAGTTTTGAAAATCTTGATTGTAAAAAAGTAATGATATAATAATTAAAATAGATAAATGATGAAGTTGAAAAAGCTAGAGATAAACTCATGCCAGATTATTGAAGATAGTCCTATTTGAATGAGAAAAATAAATTTGAAAGATAGAAATAACGTAGTAGAACATTGTATCTTATTTGTTCTTTAGAAACACAATAGAATATTATAATATATTAATGATGTTACATGTATGAAAAAATAATACATAAAAATTATAAATATATAGTATAGTGTTCACAGAAACAAGCAATAAAATATGAATAATCCCATTTCCTTTAATCCTACCTATGAGATAGGCAATAAGTAAAGATATATAAGTAGAGATACTCAAAAAAAAATATACATATTCTGTACGAGAGTTTCAAATATGGTTTTTTTCACACACGCGCGATGCGAAGTGAAGGAGCGGTCTATTTTCCCGTAGCTATTTGTACTGACGTGTTTTTACGGGCTACCGGTCTGTATCAGATGCAATCAATTTTCACGACGAAAGAACGAGCGGATTGCATGTCGGTTATTCGCGCTACTACCTGCTGCACAACATACGCGAATTATGTAAGTAAGCAAATCGCGCGCGCGTGCTAACACACGCTCGCGGATATACTCACAGTCGCTATTGTGAGATAGTGTATCCGCGTTATACGGTGTGTACCTGTAATGCGTATCTCACCTCTCACTATACCTTTCCATCTATTCCGCATACTCACACGTGATTTATGCGGTTGTCCGTGTCCGCTATAATTTATGGCGGGAGTGCGAAATATCGAGTGACTTTCCGCAAATGTTCGCGTTTACGTTGTAATACGTATTGTCTCTAAGAAAATTAGATATATCTTAGAAGCCATTTGAAGAACTCGTATGTAAGTCAACAATCAACATAGAAAATATCGAAGATTTCTGCGATTAGCTCAAGCTTTGTGTGTTATTTTTATGATAATGTATTAATCTAGCCCTAATAAAGAAATACATGTAGAAAAGTTTTTTTTTTTAATTACAATGCAAAATATTTCACGGAGACAATATATTATCCAAAAATCGAGTAACTCCAAAGAGATGAGCTCTGTTTGCGTTTTTCTTCTTGAAAAAAAACATTTTACATAATTAGGATGTCAAGTAAGAAAACCATTGGCGCGCAACACTTATATGTTTTCTTAAGTATAATCGGTGCATTTGACTGAAAATCAGTGATATTTACTAATTTAGACATTTACACTTAAGAATCAGTAGATTTTGCTGATTCATTCAGTTGGAACAATTTTGATTGCGCGAATCAAATACTTAATTCATTATATTCAATATATTCACAGCTCAATCACAGTAAATATCAATACTTCTAAAATAATTTGTAATATGAAAACAATATTTGTTTCTATATGTAATATTTTCAAATACAAGTTTTTTTGTTTATCGTTTTTGTTATCCCGACGCTAAATTCGTAAAGAAAAACCTGTTGCCACAGGAATCATCTCAATTAGGATCGAACTTGGAAAACTTCTGATTATCGAGCTGGCGCTCTACCTATACTCAGCCTTTCATTGAGACTCTCGAACAGTTATTGCAAAACTGTATTAATAACATTTAGTGACATTATCATCGATTCTCGATAAAATTATCTGTCACTAAATCAATCAGTGAAATTTTTACTGACTCACTTTAAGAGAGCGTTTCTTTTATTGTGATTTGGTGACACTATCACTGATTTTCAGTGATGAAACTGTCACTGAATTCCCAGTGAAATTTTTATTCTACTTAAGAGTGCGCGAAGTTTACAACGCGTATGTTGAAAACACATTTAAGAATAATCGCTGTCTGTAGATGGTAGAAAGCGATTAATGCTATCACTATAATTAATTATCGTAGCTTAGTAGATACTTTTTACGACCGCTCGTTAAACGCACATATGTACACCTGCACTCGGTACGTATTTTCTGTAAATAATATTATCCGAAAGAGCATTTGTTCCAAATGTGCATCTTGTTAACTAGTAGCCATGAAGTTAACATTCGCGCGCTTATCGTTTCTGCTGACAGCTTTACGTTGGAGGGCCTCTGTTGTTGCTGGGCGGGGAATGACGTACGCGTACAAACGAGTGATTTAATTGTCACGCGTGGCAAAGGGTAGATTATCATACATTTCGAAACGACAGACACTTGTTTGAACGATCTGATAAGTCAAACAAGCGTTTCTGTCTAACGACATTCATTGATGACGTACCGACGGCACTCGCCGTTCATCATGAGGCTAATTAACAAACTGATTTTCGCGATATCTTTGACTGATAACCTTTAATAACACTGGCACAGTCTAAATGTTTTACAATGTTGTTAGATCATTCATTATTATCTCTTATTATTATGTAACAAAATGTAATGTAATTCCAAAAAGAGTATATTTACATTGCGTGCAAATAATTTAATGACAAATAGTCAACGCGCTCTAGCTTCGGGAAAAAAGTAAGCAAAAGTATAGCAGTAAAAATTTCTCACCTCTCGTGCTGATGGCAGCGTGAATCCGTTTATCGACGACCGTTCAATGATGGCGACGTTAAAGATACCTTCTGTACGAATACTTTTCGTAGTCGAGCACTTCACTTTATTTTGTTCTCAAATTAACGACTCGCTTGTTTTACACTTTCTACTTCTATTTTACAGATTAATTTTTTACTTCCGTGAAAAAATTCATAAAAAATTTAATGATAAAATTCAAGTTTTTCTTGTCGTTCAAGAAATTTATTTTTCTTGAATCGTCTCTCAATTTACACCATAGCTACGTTCATAGTTCACGAGAAAAACGTAAAGATGATACTTTGAGTTACATTGGTAATGTTCTCGCGCGTGCGGGCATGTGTTTTGGTATTCATACATGTTAAGGAATTTCCTCTGCCTTAATAATCTTGTTTATATTCGATCTGGCACTTTCCATATTCATGATCGTTGTGTCATAAAAACATTTATTATCGCAGAGGCAAGTAATTCGTACACAAAGCAATTTCACGAAATTTGGAATAACAATTAATCTACGATAAACAAATTAACATTCTCTCATAAACGAGGAATCGAATTGAAACGGAATGTCTCAGATATATATGCTTTAGGAGAAGAGATCTGTTTCGAAATTACTCTTTCGCAGATGATAATCCTCCATCAAGACGTTGGTAACACTGAAATTTTTCGTCGACCTTCGGCACTCGACTTTTTCGACATCCGAAAAATAGAGAAATTGAAAACTTCCACTGATCCAACGCGTAGTAATTATCAAGACAAGTGATAATTAATAATACTCCAAGAACTCTGGAGTCGTTTCTCGTCACGAAGTACGAAAACGACTAGATCCGCGGATTGCGCCGCAACAGGTGAGAGGCAAAGGGTGAGAACGGAGTGGGTGGAACAAGGAGCAACAAGGGAGAGAAAGAATAGGCCAGATGACGATAACACAACGATGGGTGGTGTAATACCGCGCGTAGTAGCGGACAGTCGGCGACTAAGGCCCCCGAGGAGAAGTCACCTCTCTCTCCTTCGTCTCGTCTCTTGTCCTCTCTTCCGAGGGGTCTCTCTTTCCACCACACACATGTAGTCCGCCAACACATCGTCGCGCGCGCGTGCATCACCAACACGCATACGATAATCCCCTCCCGTGCCCCCTTTCAATTCAACCCCTCCAGCCTGCGGACCACCCCTCTTTCTCACGACGATACGTCGTGTCTTCTCCCTCGAAACGCGTGAGTATCCGCGCCACCAACTGCAGCAAAACCACTTGCAGATGCAATACACGGCTGTGCGCGCGCGCGAGCTCGCGACCGCGCGTGTATACGTACATCCGATTTGCGGCAGCGACGGCAATGTCGGTGTACGTGTCGGTAGAAGAAAAGTGGGAGATAGGACACGCGACACGAACCGTAGTGGGGAGAGAGAGAGTCAGCTGGAGTGGGAACGCGGCCTTCTCCTCGTTCCTGCGGGGCCTCTTGCGGGGCACCCTCTTCTCTCTTGGCGTCAGACGTCTCGCGTGTTCTCTCTTTTTCTACTCGATTCTCTTCGTCGACCTGCCTCTCGTTCGCGCAGATCTCCGATTAAGCGCGCGATGCTTCGGCTTCTCTCTCATGCGTTTCATACGCGTTCGTAGATACGCTATCGTACGATTCGAGATTTTACTAGGTTTTCTTTGAAACGTGCGTTTGCTTTCAAAAACTGTCCAGTATCTTTATATGCACTCTTTATATGAACATTATGCGCGAGTCCAAAAAATTGAGACACTATGGTCAATAAGTTACTTGAGACTGCATCGATTTGTCAGAACATTGATATTATTTATGAAAGAAATATAATACACTTACACAAGACAGTCTTTTTAGTAAATAAATTATAGAATAAAGTTTTACATATATTATATCTGTTAAATAGTTATTAAGTATAAATGATTTTATAGGTTTTGTATAATCTCACTCTCTTTTTACTAACATTACTGAACTTTTTATGTCAAATATAAAATAATGCTAATAGTTATATATTTTATATTTTATGTGATGATTACTTACTTTAAAGCTTCGCTCCTCCTTCACATATGCAGGGTGTATCACCTCCACCATCGTAATTAAGTTTTATAAAAGTAATAATCAGGCAAAATTCCTGGGATGCAGCATGCATTTCATCAAAAAAAAAAAAAAACGAAATGACGTATTTCTAGAATAACTTTGAACTTGAAACGCGCGCGCGATATATTTTTTACAATATTTTTTGCACTTATGTACAAAGTTATACAAACTCGCAAAATACAATCAAGTTTTCCGCAGAAGTCATTTGCATTTATATTACGAGAATCAGCTACGACTATTTTGTCCTATCTCGATTTGCACTCGTCTCTCGAAGAACTCGCCGACGCGTTGTGTGCGAAAAACAAACCCACGCGTGTCAATGAACGAGGAACGACTAGCGACAACGACGATTTTCGTTGACGACGATCTCTCAGGGGTCGCAAAACTCACCTCTCCCCCGTTGGTCCCTTCTCGACAAACGGTTTTGGTGAGAGGGGTGGCGAGTGTTCTCTCCCTCCTGGTTCCCACGCCGTATTCCGATTCCTCTTCTCGTCCCTTCTCCTCCACCGCCTCCTCGGCAGTATCCTCGGGACTCCTCCCTTGGAAACGCACCCTTCTTCAGGGGGTACATGTATCACCATTCTCCGCCTCTTTCGGAAGTACTTTGCTGCCGCCCCCGGTGAGCCTATCAGTTAAGATTTATTCGTCGTATCCCACGCTACGCGCCCGTAATTTTGAAGCAACTGGTGGTAAAGAGAGTTTACACAGAAAGTTCCAATAGTTTTCACAATTTTATTATTGTTATAACAATAGGACGAAAGAATGAAATAAAACTAAAATTCTGAGAAGAAAGTTCAAATTTCATCCAATTCAAATATTACTTGAAATAAATTAATCACTTTTTTAAGCAAATAAACTTTGCACAGAAAATAAAAATAAAAGAGTAGAGTATGTAAAAAGAAAGATAAGGAAGGAAAAAAAGCATTGTGAAGAAAGAACGCAGTGCGAGAGGAAGAAAGAGAAAAGACAAAATAAAACCGCGTTGTTACATTCAAACGATCTGGTCGTGAGTTTGCTGCCAGTCACGACCAAGAGCATCGATATTTTAATTAATGTATCGATAGTGGAGTCAGACATGGGTTTATCTGACGTCATCTTGTTCGACATATCGAGTCCGGCTCTCGAAGCCCACGTAAAAAAGTCCAATAATAATTAGGCCGATAGGTCGTAGAGTTCGGTAACGTCACAATTTTTTCGAAAAATAAACGCCCAATAAAACACATTTGTTTTAATTCTTTCCAATGAAATAGTCTGCTTTGTGAATAATTACCATATCTTTCAGGAAATATTTAAATTAATTATATAAATAATTCTGTACAAAAACAAGATTTATACAAAAACTAGATTCATGTATAAAGTGAATAATTGAGAATAATCTCAGGCTCTGTAATCCGTTTTAAAGTTAATATAATGTAAAGTCTATAAAGAGCCATCGCGGGATGTTGTGCGTGAAAATATGACTGTGCATATATCTATGCAACAGTACTCACATTTTTACATGTGAGTTTTTTAATTGAAATTTTAATTCTATCAATTCATATAGGATGCTAGTTTTGCATCACATATACGAACGACCCCGAATACCCCCCTTACTAATTTTAAAATATTGCGAAAAAATACTCTATTAGATTCATGTAATTGCAATTGCATATTCTCGATAACTACATGATAAATTATAAAAATTAAAGATAATACGTTTCTTAAAAAAAAAAATAACATTAGTGAATATGATAAAAAGTAAGAAATAATACAGAAAGAATCTTATAAATAAAACATGATGAGACATCACAATGTAGTGATGTCTGTTTACTATTGATTAATATTATTCTTATCTATTTGTATATTATTATTATTAATACTATTATTATTATCTATTTGTGAATAAATTTCATTTAGATTAATCGGTAAAGATACAGTTTTGTTTACTTGTTTATATTTTTCATGATCAGTGAGACACAAAATTAGGAAACACACACACACACACACACACACACACACACACACACACTAACGAGAAAAACAAACAAATCGCGCAAACAATATACGTATAAGTAAAATTTGATAAAGCCAGATTATATGTCGGTGTTTGCGTAACTTCCGGTGTGGGCGTCTCGACCACCACACATTGATCGCGCCGTTCGCGTTGGTATTAATACGATATTGTTTTCTGTGTCGAGCACCCACCGCAAATTCAATCGATCGGAAACGGGAACATCGGCAATTGGCCGCAATTGCGTTGATCGGGGCCAATATGACATCGTGTTCGAGCAGCGATTTCATTCCTCAGTGGAAAAGTCTGTCGTCGATTTTATTGAATCGTTTCATGCTTTGGTGCATTGTACGAAGATTAACTTTATCGCAAAAGATATAAAATATTGTAAAACATAATTGACATAAATATTACAAAATATTTTTAAAAGAATATTGTTAAGTACATAAAACGATAAATAGTCTTTAGATATATTTTGCAATTGTGTAACATTATTGAGTGTAAAAAAAAAACGAAAAGAGAGTTGAAGATTACAGAGTAAGATCAAACTTAAGAAAGAGATAAGACGTATCAAGAAACAACTCAACTTATTGTACGAACATGTAAACAACACATGTGTTTATTGATAATGTCAATCAATCATTTATGGTTTACAATTCTTACTTTATTTATGCTACAACTTTAGATTCACTCGTCAACTGTATGTATAGAAGTTGAGAGAAATTTCACAAAAAATGTTTATAGTTCGGGCAATGACCTAGGACGACCCTGTGCGATTGAAAGATTGATCCTGAGGTATCGTGCAACATATAAAAAAACATTCTATGCAACGCCTATATTTCTGAGCATATTTTTCGTGTGTATAACATATACGGACGCGAATCTCGCATTATCTTGCGTGGGCGTACCGTGTTGCTGATAAGCAATTCTGTATTTCGCAAATGTTTTCGACGGACTTTATCTGAAAATTTGCGTCTCGTACAAGCTTGAAAATCGAGTCATTAATCACACATAAATGCTACATAAAAACCATTTTTTATATAAGATCTGATAAATAATATAATTTTCATCACGTCACTTTTTAAATGATACAAATCTTGAATACATTGACATATATTTAATGCCAGTAAATTTTAGAAAATATTTTAGAAACACGTATTTTGTGGTCTTTTTATTGACAAGATTTGTCATTATATATTTATCAATTTGCTAGACTCTCTTTATACAAGCTTCTATTGTATTCGATTTTCCTTGGCTGTTTTCGAGCGCGCACGAGTTTTGTTTTTTCTCACTGGCAAAACGAGGAATAATGAAATACGAGGCGCGGCAGAGAATCAGCAGAGTTCGAGATGATCGCTGCGCGGTTCAATAAAATTAATACACGGTTCCTCGGCGTAGATTCCAAGTCGTGTTTCTCGTGCGTCAAGGAGTCTCGGTCGGAGTCGTAGGTTCGGCAGGCCAACGAGACGTTCGGGACGCTCTTAACTAAGGGTCTACTAACTTTAAATCCGATAATGAATGTAATCAGCGGAAATAACATGGAATCTACGCTGGTCTCTCGGCCGAGCCGCGGTCGCGTCCAGGTATACATTCCCCTGACCACAGCGTGACTAATAATTATACTCGGTGAGGGACCCTCGTCTTTCTCCTACGCCGTTATCTCTCGCCGAGAGCGAGAGTGGAAGCCGAAAGCAACAGACATAGAAAACAAATGATTCACTCAGACTAGCTCGCGAATCCCCAGAGTGCGGAATCTCGTTCGGTTTGTTGCGAATGTGCAAGTTTTCTTTTTTTATTGAAAATATACAATTGTAATTTATATGCGTAATACTCAGTGTTGTTATACAACTGTATTATTCATTTACATACGATATAGAAATAGATACACTTATTGTATATTTATTACACTTATACACTTATTATAGATTTAATAACAAAATAAAAAATAATACAGCTGTATAAGCTTTTAATTTTTATAAAAAGAAGAAAATTTGTTGATAACAATATTGTACGTTCTCGCAGAACTCTGACAAATTGCGATAATTATGTAATATGTAACTGTGTGTTTTGTGATACGTACGTATATCTGCGATTGTATCTTATAACGCCGACGGTTGCATCGCGGGTATCACCTACAAGTGACTTTCGATTGTGTATCTGATCGACATCGATACTGTATGTACACATTGCACACAATAGACACGCGCGCACGAGCGAGAAACCTGTCGACCTCGCGACGCCAGCGAGTAACGGTAGTCTTAATTGAATTATTGTTTCGGTTAATGTCGACATTCATCATAAAGTACACACACGGTATCAAAGAGAGGGACGAGGAGAACACACATCTCCGCCGTCCAAGAAGTCGGCGGCTCACTCGCGCGAAACATTCATCTTCCATCGTATACGTCACGAACCACGACAGAGCGAACCTTCTCGCCTCTCTTCCTTGTAAAGTCAAAGACGAATTTACAGGAGAATTGTGTTTGAAACGAATAGTTTTCGCGATTTTCTTACTATGTTTCAAATCATGTTTTCTCATCTTATCAGATCTATTTTATACACATATGTGCATACTGAAAAAATGAGAGTTTTATGAAGAGCGATTGATAAGTATCTGAAACAAAAAAGCAAATAACAATTTGAAATATCTGGCAAATTCGAAGTCTAACTCGTAAATTTTGACTAGTGAGACAGTTGAAGTGCGAGCTGGTGCAAAACTCACATGTTGAAGTACAATATTGAAATTTGCTTTTATTTATCTCGACTTTGATCTTTGATAACAAGTCATTTGCCAAGTGCGAATGAGAGCGCGTGCAGATTTGAGCGTTTTGATATAACAAATGATTAACAGGCAAGCGAGCAGAGCGTAGTTGTCGACATCGCGCGAATAATTATCGCGCGCAGCGTGTCGTTGGTGCAGCGTCAATTAAGTGTTTTCACGATGCCGCGATCCGGCAACTTTATGCGCGCACCGAGCGTGCACTACGTCTTAAAGTTTTTTTCACGTCAGCGATGTACGTGTTTCACCGACCGCCAGGCATCGTTCTATCGATCACAGCGGGCGCTCGAGCGAATCGAACCCCGGTCGTCTAATCGCGCCAACGACAACTTCCTTGAGCGATCCCGTGAGCAATGAACATCTGCAAAAATCATGTTCTGTGTTCGCCGTTAATTATTCACCTCATCAATCGGAATCGGTACAGTGCAACTTTTTCGATAGACGAAGATAGAAAATTATCTCTATTTGTGACAATTGTGTTAAATGACATGTGACAATGAAGTTGACATATTTCTAAATTTGAACATTGATTTCAATCTATTTAACATAGTTCAGTGATTTAATTACTCGTATTTTTTTTAGCGGCATGATGTTCATTTCGTTTTCGATTTCGTAAAAGATAACGTTTGTTTATTCGAACGCGCCAATTGAGAGACACAAGTGTTGAATATCTCGGACATATAAACGCGGAGACTCGCTCGCATCTGCTAACCGACGACGGTGTGACACAAAGTGGGAGGCAATTGCAAACAGACCCACGCCTTGCTGCTTGATATTTGCATTGGTTGCGGAAACCAGACTGCGTCGATCGCGCTCGGTCGAATAAATGAATTTAGATTTGTGAGTTCGCCGAGTGCAAGCAGTTTCCATTGCTAGGCCGTATCTGAATTCGCTTAGCAACACGCGCACACTTCATATTTCGGACGGTGCTGATGTCGCGAATAACAAACAATCGTTTGTACCACTTTCTTATCCTATTCGTTTCTACGCCACTTTTATACGCATCAAAGCAACAAGTTTCTAGTAAGAGAATATTTTATGTCTCATGTGTTACACAATTGTGTTTTATAAGTTTACTAATCTGTTTTGTTTAAATTTTTATCGTTATCTATCTTATCTATTGCTACACTTAAATGATTGTAATCAACGATTTTTGCAATTTTGATTAGAGAAAAAAAATTAACACTTAATAAGTTTTGTTTTTCACTGATGCAGGTGAATGATAATTACTTAAAGAGCGATAAGTTAGATATTTAATTAATTTATCTTCTCACGTTGTAAAGACAAACGTCACTGTTTATCAGAAACGTCATTGTTTACTAGAAAAAAATAAAAATATTTGTTTATAAAAAACATTCTTATATATATTTTTTCTAGACATTTATAAGTTCTAGGTCAGCAGGAGCGAACAAGAAAAAGACGTAGAAAGGAGATGAAAATAAGGCAGGAGGAGGAAGGAAGATCGATGCATAAAGACTGCGGATCGAGTCCCAGTTTGCATAATTCATTCGACTGGTCGGCGAATGCATATTATACCTCAGGATATCTAGCCGGCTCGAACAGCGGGATCAGGATGCAAGGACCTGCGCTCTGAATATGAGGTCGAGTCGCCAAATCGTCTGAAGATGGTTCGGCATCGATAACCGCAACTACTAGCCGTCGCGAGGACGCTAGGATCTAAAAGGATCGGGTGTGTGTGCGTGTCCCTCAAAGAGAAAAATATTTCGTAACATTTGCGAGATATCCTGACCCGACTACGAAATTATGTCATTGCACGAATTTCAAGGATTTTGTTGAAATCCGCATTTCAAGCGGCGAGCGCAGTATGCCATTCTAAGTTGCGGCATTTTTTTATTTTGTAATATAACTTTTGCAATAACTCGTTTCAAACTTTAACAATTATCTTCATGAAGTTGTAAAAAAAATATTCTGTATGTTGTAGGTACAGCTGTACGTTAAAAGTAGTTCGTGACGATGCAAGCGCGAAAAAAAATTAAAGTTACGAGATATTTTCGACGACTCATGTTGAACGTTAAGCGATTTAACTCGCTCAAACGTTCAGTAGCGTTACTTACAAGCGCGCGGCATCTGCTCCACCTGTCTATCGATTTTTCCGGAAGCGTCGTCGGGGCGGCTTCCTCGTGGCGGAAGGTGCGTGCCCATATGGGTGGACCGGATCTCTCCCTCGTTCCTTCCATCTCGTCTCTTACACCTCAAGGAACCCACCCCAGGCGAACCGGAATCAAGTTCAATTGTCTCGCGGTGGCTTTTGGACGCGTGAGAAATCTGCGAGCAGCTGTTTCGCCGGGGGTTGCTCTCGCTGCTCGTCGCCGGTAGCGTGTGACGTCACGTCACGTTTTACTTGTCGTTTACTTGGTCAAACGAGGAGGACGTGATCATATGTGCGACGACGGGGAGAGAGAGAGGGAGGAAAAGGGAGAGACGCGCGTATATTATTGCGCAGTGCGCGGATGCAAATTAGAGACGTCTCGAAGGGGTTAAAGTTAAGGGTTCGAACGAGACCCTGAGGGCGCCGAAATACTGGCTAGACCTCCTATAAGAGGAAACAGGCAGAGTTTCTCGATATCCTCTTTCGGAAATCTCTCGCCGCTCTTTCTTTATTTCTACGTGTTTCCCACGACCGCCCTCCCGTTACTCGCTTCGGTATTTTAATTAGGTCTACTGTTGTTGTTACTTCTAGTTGTGCTTCCGTAACAATGCGATTGTGATCTGCTCGTCATAAGACTGATTGTACGTTACGTATATAATTATGCTATGTTTTCGTTTAGGGTTTAAGTACAATGCAATTGTGTCGAGAAAATTGGGACGCTATTTTTGAGAATGACGAAATAATTTTTTGTTACTTATATACATCACATTGTGTATTGCGCGTTTTAGTAGTTTCTTTATTATTTTCAAATTTTATTTTTATAATAAATAAATCTGTGATAGTGCGGGATTTGCACATTTACAAAAATATTTTTACAACTTTAATATCTACATCTAACAATGTTTTCTTTATTGATAATTTTGTTTTTCTTTTTTTCGTAAGATTTTTATCTTTAATAAAAGAGAAGAAATAAATACTGAAGACGAATTGGCGCAACCGGTAGTTGAAGAACTACTACCGCACACCAAATCGGAAAGATGTGCACGCGAGATTAGTATCGTCAAGTTCCGGATGAGAGAAATTACAACAGTCCCTTTTACATTTTCAATTGCTCTCGTACTACCGCCGACTACCTCGCGACTTGATTTGCCGATGCGAAATCTTTCAATCCGTCGTACCACAAATTGCACGCCTCTCTACGTGACGCGTATGCGAATGCGAGCGACGTAAGCAACGTGGCTGATTGCGAGCGAGAGAGCGAGTGCTCGCCGGAGGCAGAAGCACTCCCGCATAAAGACAGTGCGGCATGTCTCGTCGTCGTTCTCTTCCTTCTCTTCCTCCTCCTTCTGTTTCTCGTCGTCGTCGTCGTCGTCGTTGTCGTCCTCTTCATCGTCGTCGTTGTCGTCTTGGTGGCATTTTGAATTGCAGATAATCGAGCACGATCGACGAGGACGATAATCGGCCCCGGCGCTTAGACATGCAGTGACTTATCTTCGGGCAACCGAGGGTTACCTGTCTCGGATACCTTTCCCCGTGCGGCTCGGGAGAGTCGACAGGATCGATAAGGATCGAGATGATTCAGAACCTCTTGACCTCGGCTTGTCGATCTACAGTGCAGCTCCGAATATATACCCCGGCGCACACGAAACGAAAGCGCGACGCGGCAAGCCGATCCTCTCCCGCGCGGCCCGCTGTCGACGCGACAGGTACGCGATCCTAGCTGATTGTAAATTGTAAATTGCTTAAATATCAGTTGTAACACTTACACTATATCTTACACAAAGTTAACGATCTGTATTATGCGAGTTATATTATTTTCGAGTTACAAATGGATTTTTTTTTTATTTCGTTTTTTCTCCCTCTTTTCTTCCCGATTCTTATCGATTGTAAATTTCGTTCGAGTGTCTATAGTAGTATTTACGTCTTACTGTATCTTAGATAGATAAATCAGACGCGTGATAGTAAATCGGATCGCTGTAAGAAGTCTCTTTATTGGAAATTTGTGATATTGTGATTTAGCAGGTTTTTGTTTTTGTATCTGAAATTCGCGAGTACAGCCGGTATATTCGCGAATAAGCAGCTCCCACGTTGAGACGTGCGGTGCCTCCAGGTGGTAACTGGCGCTCTTTATCCAGTCAGCATCCCCCTTCTCCTCCCCCCTGCTCGAGAAACACGAAGGAGCGGCCCCTCTATTGTCGCGGAGGGAGTTATTAACGAGGGGATGACGAGGGGGGGAGGGGAATCTCTCGGAGAACGTACGTACAATCCTCGTGTGGGAATTGCGTAAGCTACGCAGGCGCGCCTCAAAAGCGGGACACCTTATTACTTCCCGCCAAAACACTATCGGAGAGAACCTTTTACGTCACGTTCAACCCATACACGCCGCCGACACGTCACGCGAGGGATTCGTCGTGGGTCTGATGGGTCGAATCTGCCGGTCCGCGCGCTTGACACCATTCAGGCTTTCCCGCCAAAAAAATTTCGACAGGTGATCGTAACGCGGTTTTGTAAATGACTTTTAAATGTACAAAGCATTGCATCACATTTACAAAATTTATAAAAAATAAAATAATTTATGTTACAAACCTTACAGTGAATAAAGTTTATAGAGTAAATTTATGATCTTACTTTGATAAAAAATAAAGTGATAATAATAATAATTCTTTGATAAGTGCGTTGTAACTATTACGGATAATTACAATCAGTTTAAACTATTGTGGATATATTTTTGAAAGTATATACGCAGAAATATCAACATTCTGACGGCACAGTTTGTGAAAGTTCTTTCGACTGTGAGAATCTGACTAGTCGAAGTAATGCGCGTTACGCGAAGGACGATGACATTTCTGTGGATCGGGTCTGTGGGGGAACGAGTATTGTGAAGGAATTTTTCAAGCATCCACTCCCACGTGGGGTACACGTCGCTACCCCCCACGTTTCCACGACGAGCGCACGTGTGTGAATACGCACACATGTCGTTTGTTTCTCGCCGATGCATATTTTCGAAGAAACTGCGGGCTTATGTGTGTGCGCGTTTCTCCCCTTGCCTCCCTTTTACATACAACACACCCTCGTTACGTGAGCCACGTCACTCTCTTGACCGGGCACATGCGAAGGGGAAACACTCACCGCTTTTTAGCTGGGAAAGAGCCACGAGATTCGCCTTCCAGGCGTTCTGCCGGTGCCTATCGCCCGATTGCGTTTTCATGCGTGCCGAGATTTCGGAAGACAAGCTAGGACATACACCTGGACGCTTTTTTCCGAGGGTCAATGACATTACCGAAATCGTTTCTTTTTAGTCTATATTTATTTTGAAATAACACAGAAATAATACCGAAAGTCAGAATGTACGTGCTTAATAAATTTAATTTTGTTCTTAATAAATTAAAACTTTTCTAAACCGCGAGGGTGTGACGTATGTGGTACGAAAAATGTTGATACTTGATTTGTGTGTGTGTGTGTTCGCACTACTGTTTTTCGAAGTATCTTATCGTGATACATTACGACTCGACATGTGCTTCGCTGGAACAGGATCCGCGTGCTGAACGTAGCGAAGTTCGTCGCTGCGCCTCATTGCCGCGTCTCTCTGAAATTTTCACGTGGGTGGCGAAGACTGTGCGATACACAATGGCGCGTCTTCACCACATCGTGCCTTTTCTTCGCATGAGGGAAAAAGAAACATCGTGTTTGCCCACGAGCGAAGGTGTTTCGAGGCAATACACATTGCTGTGTCGCCAACACCATTGTTCTAGTAAGAGTTGCCATTATTCCGACATTACGAGGTAATAACGCCGCTTGTTACAACGAGAGTTACAGTCAAGCGCAAATTGACGAGTTTTATGTTGATTGAATATCTCACTTTGATCTGATTTTTGTAATAAAAAAATTTTTTTCTCTTTGTTTTATGAAATTCAAGAACTTCTGAGAATTTTCTTCAAAGTTACAAAACAATGTCCTCTTATCTTTTGTGTTATCTTGTTTTTATATATTTCATCATGTGAAACTTATGTCTCGATAATACAAAAATCAGGATGTGTAATCTTTACAACAAATTACCGTCGCGCTCATACTTGTTACGTATTTTATTGCTGTACTAACACACTATCTCCCGCAGAGATATCGACGAGGAAGTTGGGCTGAAAATTTAGCGCGGTCGTCAATTTTCATCAACTATCATAAAAAGGGAAAAAGCATACGTGCAGAATGGCACAGAGATAAAGAAGGTAAAAGAGACAAATTTACAGTCCTTTAGGAGCGTCGGCTCGTCGAAGGAGGCGTCGCGTGAATCATCCGCGACTCGCGTGGGCGGCTGAATCGTACAAGCATCGGCGTACACGGACCGACACGAGGAGCCTATTTCACGAGGTTGTCGTCGGTACGAAACAGCTATTAGCGTTGCCCGATGGCGCATTATGTTCCATCGTGCGCGCGCATTAACGAGCTCCTGGTCCATATTGCACAGAGAAAAGCCACACACACACAATCTAAACGCCCACTGCGGTTCTTCTTTTAGATCTCTCTTTTGCCATCCCCATCGTGCCACCGATAACCACCCCAGGTGAAATCAATTGTTTTTCTTTTCTCCTCTTATTTTTTTTTCTTATCTCTTTTCTGTTATACCTTCTTCTTTCTGACTCTTACCTGTTCTTGTTTGTCTTTTCGTAACTATCGATCTCACGCCGGATCGCATTCATATTCAGATTTCGACTCGTGCATTATTCAAATGTGATAACGGTTAAGTGGTTCCTGAGAAAGCTTCTCGATGATTGCCTCTCGCGATAAATCGAATTATCGCGGTGAGAGTAATCGTCGTCTTACGACATTTCGCGAACGGTATTTTATGTTTCGATTTAGAATTATTCTCTACTTGTGTTAATTCACAGTACACCTTGATACCAAAGATTTTAAAACACGTATTTTTTGATCAATAATAATCTTTGTCAAGTACGTCGTAACTGAATATCACTGATTTGGCTTCTAACACCTGTCGTTAAAGTAACGGTGATTTCGAAATACCTCGCACTACAGAAAGTAAAATCCAGCCGTAGTAATGCCGTAAAATTCGTTTACTTTCGTGACACAGAGTTCCCCTCAGAATGATGAATTGATACGCATCACGTTTTCTCGGAGAGCAAGAGGGAGAGAAGAGAGGGTGCTTTCCTTGATCGCGTCCCTCGGAGAGAAACCGGTCGTTAAGAGAGCTCGACGCAAACACGGCGCAAAAGGCGGTATATATACGAACTTTAACGATTCGCCGTCGATAAATCGCTGCTAGTGAAAACCGACACAAGGCGGGGTGCATAGGGTGTGAGAAGGGAGGCAATAGGTGGCTAGGTCTTCTTATCCGAAACAAAGGTCACCCCTTCGCGGAACTGTGGGAAACTCGGACAGCTGAGAAAGGAAGGAAGTATCTGTCTTCCCTTTTGCGGGGACGCGGAGAAGTTCCATAAAGTAGCTTCTTTTTCGGCGCCCCTCAAACGAAGGATTATCTTTCTGTTCGAAGAGAACAGACATTTCACAGATTACCTGCAGAAACTTCGATACGTTCAAGTGTCTCGATTGTACATGCCTTTCTCTAGGATATATTGAAAAGCATGACCACACTTTGATCGTCATGATTTATATTACGCACATGTCTACAAAAGATTCGTTACATTCTCTTTACATGTTTTTCAATTATACGAGCAGAATGTCAAACTGAGAAAAGTCTCAATAAAGATCGAGGAAAATATAACGAAAGAGAGACAGTAATTGTGGAATATATTTAAGGGTGCCATTATTAAAATAATCTTTGAAAAATAATAAAATTTAATCATTAAAATATATTTAAGATTTTGATCT